AAACAGTACAACAATGAATGATTGAAAACCCAAAATCTCTGTAAATGTTCATTAAAATTAATAAAATTTAATTAAAAGAAACAAACAAACAAAAAACCCAAAAACAACAAAAAACTGCCTTTTGATTGGCAGTACTAATGTTTTGCCACTAGGTCACCAACACTCTCTTTATTGTCTTTATTAAGAAAATTATAAAGTCCTGCTGCCTAAACCCCTCTTTGAGGATATATACTTGTGTTGTCAAAGCTTTTGCCATGGCCTACTCTGATTCTCCCTTGAAAACATTTTCTTTCTAATAACTTGTCTACCTGAAAGGTGGAGTTTGCCTCATCATTCTTGATTAGACTTGCCAAGAATTCTCAAATCTGAAGGGCCTGTAACAGCATATCCCTGCTGACAACAATTTTGAACTTCTGGCCTCCAGAACTGTGGGATTCATTTTTTTTTAACAAGTAAGTGTGTAGTGATTTGTTACACCAGTAATGGAAAATCAATACATGTTCATGGATTGCTATATTTGGCAGTACTTATGTGAAAAGTTCCAAAAATAAAATTCTTACTATAGATCAATATTTACAGAACAACACTTTGTAGTTGATTTTGATGATCACCCCAAAAATACTCACTGGGGTCGAGTAGGAATGGTCTTATAGTTGAACCTCCATTGGGTTTCTGTAGCTGTATACCACATATCACTGTCGTGTCGTTGTTTTGTGCTGTCAAGTCATCTGTGACCCATTGCAACCCTATGAACAGCCATTCTGAAGCCTGCCCTGTCCTGAGCCAGTCTCACTGATTCCAATACACCTTTCCCCATTGCCCCAGTCACTGTATCAATCCATCTCATCCTGGGTCTTCCTCTCCTGCACTGCCCCTTCAGTCTTCTAAATATGATGTTCTTCTCTAAGGACTAGCCCCTTCTGGCCACATGCCCAAAGTATGTGAGATGGTGTTCAAAATTCTAACCTCCTAGCTTCCTTGGTGGTTCAGGGTTTGTTCAAAACTCTTCTCTAGTGCCACAACTAGATGGCCCATTTTTGTCCCAAGTGATTCCAACCTTCAGAGAGGCCTAACTTTTGGGTTAGCAGGGAAACTCCGTAAGAACTAATAGGGAACATTAACTTTGAACTCAAATTATATAAAATGTATCTCTTCCAGGAAACTTTCTATTATTCCCATTACTTATTGTTATTGTGTTCTGTCCAGTCAGAACCCACTCATAGTTGACACTGCAGCAGGCTTTCAGAGACATAGGATAAGAATGCCCATCATTCTTCCATGGAGGCAGCTAGTGGATTTTAACTGTGGATTCTGTGTGCCTTTGGAATTGCAACGGAGTTTTTTTTAATTATTATTTTGTGTTTGTGTACCATCAAATAAGATCTGACTGGTACAGGAGGAGATTGTCCTTCTTTTCTCCAGCAGACACAATGCAGTTTTGACAACCAGGCCAATCTTTTTTTTTTTTTT